GTAAGAGAGAGTGTGTGAGTGTGAGAGAGTGAGAGAGAGTGTGTGTGTGTGAATGTGTGAGAGAGGGACAGAGTGAGAGTGAGAGAGTGTGTGGATGTGTGTGTGTGAATGTGAGAGACAGAGTGAGAGTGTATGTGTATGTGTGTGTAGGCCTGACTTAAGACAGTTCTTCCCGCCTCTTTTTTTGTGATTGACAGGAGGGAAGAGAGGCGGTACAAAGGGGTGGGCAGGGGTTGCTCCACATTGGGGGCTCAGATTTCATAAACTAAAGGCACTGGTCAGTTTTGGCGTCACCTTGTCTCAAGCAATTTGAGTTTCTTCCCATCACACTGTCTCTAAACGTGCACAGGAGGTCATTCTTTATTGTTGTTGTTGTTAGTATTTCGAAGGGGACAGCTAAGTGTCACAGCGGATAAAGTGGACCTGGAGTCAGGAAGACCCATCTTCTTGAGTCCAGATCTTGGACTCAGACACTTAACTAGCAGTGTGACCCTGGGCAAGTCACTTAACCCTGTTTGCCTAAGTTCTTTATCATTTAAAGTGAGTTGGAGAAGGAAATGGCAGTTTCCTAAATGGCAGTATCTTTGCCCGGAAAACCCCAAATGGAGTTGCAAAGAGTCAGACACCGCAGAACAACAACAATAAATTATGAAGGAGGAGGAGATGAAGATGAAGATGATGATGTTAGATTCAAAATGAGCTAGGGTCATCAGAGACACACTCAGAAACACCAAAGAGAGAAACAGCTAGACAAACACAGAAATAAGAATCATGCAAAATGGGAAATGAGCAAATCAAATATTTCATACTTTTTTTTAAAAAAATGACTGTATGAAGCACTGATAATAGCTAAAGTACCAGAAGCAACGGAGATGGAAAAAAATAATGTAAGATAACAGATGTTAACAGTATTTTACTGAGCCAATCTCTAACCTGAGAATGAGGAAACAGAAGGCCAGAGACAAAGTACCAGTAATCAGGTAGCTGTTTAATTAATTAGTTTCATTATGAGGAACAGATTTGCAAATCGGGAATTCTCCTGATCAGAATTCCACCTTGTTGTAGTGAAGGCTGAGATTATATACATAAATCACAAGTGGAAAGGGAGGGGGGAAGGTGGATTACAAATAATTGTTTCCCAGGGTCTGAGTGGTTTCCCACCACAAGCCACAATACAGGTGTTCTGGAGTTCTGTGGGAACAGTATTGTTTCAGGTCCTTGGGGGTCCTCACTTGATGGGTCACAGGACCAGAGTTCTGTTTTGGGAATAGGCTCTACAATCTTTGATTTGCTTAAGGCACACAGGCACAAGAATGCATTGATTGTGAGAGCATTGTCAAGGATTTGATTGATCATTTCCAACTGCATTATAAGCTTCTGACTTGCATGCCAAAAGAAGCAATTCTGAAAAATCTAAATTATTAGGTATTCATTACACATATCATATTGATTAATATAAAAATCATAATTCCCTTCACATTGGAGACACTGGTAAAAAATAAATAAATTGTCCATACAGCCTGATACATTGATATAGTAGATAAACAGAATCACAAAAACTGTGTTTGAGATCCACAGCAGTGCCTCCTGCCCACCCCCTACAGTCACAAAACTTCTCACTGCCCCCCACCAACTCCCACACATGAAAAATTGCTTAGTAAGTGCAGATCTAGATTGGCAGAAAGAATTTCTTCCCTAGGAGTTACTTCACAGAAATCACAAGTCAGTTTAAAAAATCATGACCCAATTTTTAAAAATAGCTTGTCAATTAAAAAAAACACCAGCACATATTCATTAAAAGTGTTTACATTGAGGTTGTAGTTTTAGGTGACTGAAAGAAGCATAGTGTCCTCAACAATAATAGTAAAGTTTAGAAGAGAGGTGTACTTGTGAAGAAAGATGAGTTCTGGACATACTGACTTTGAGATCCCTATAGTACATCCAGTTCAAAATGTTTAATAGGCAATTAGTGATGTGGGACTAGAGCCAGGAGAGAGACTAGAACTAGATATATTGATCTGGTAATCATTTGCAGAAATGATAATTGAACTCAAGAGAACTGATGAAATGCACCAAGCTTAAATGTAGAGAGAAAAGAGAAGGCCTAGGACAGACCCTTGGGGATACCTGCAGTCAGTGGGAGTGATATAAATGAAGATCAAGCAAAGGACAGACAAAACAGTCAGCTCTGTGTCTACTGTGCCACAGTGCTTCTCCATTTTTATTACAATCTTAAAATTGTACATTAAAAAAAAGCAAACTTTATACTGATTCCATTTTCTTTCTCTTTTGGGTAAATTATAATAATTTTTATTTTATTTTACCAGTCTCGTGTTTCTGGTATGAATACATGTTACATATTTTGAGGTAGAAATATGCTAAATGTATTTGGGCTAAATATGTGCCCTGATCCCTTCTGGAGGCTACATGCTGGGTCCCATACTCGAGGACATGTATAAGCAGCAGTTCTTGGATGTCTCATGTGTCCTTATTAGTGGAGGTTGTGTCAAAGATGATTAGTACTAGGAGGCAGAGCCAAGATGACAGAGTAAAGACAGGGACTCACCTAAGCACTCCCTCAAACCCCTCCAAATACCTTTAAAAAAATGACTAAACAAATTCTAGAGCAGCAGAACCTGCAAAAAAGGTGGAGTGACACAAATTTCCAGCCCAAGACAACCTTGGAAGATCGACAGGAAAGTTCTGTTGCACCAGGGTGAGTGCAGGCTCTGCCATTGCAGACTGGGCCCCAGCAAACCAAGAGCAGGCCTTGGGAGTGACTAAATCAGCAGCGGCTGCTTCCAGAGCTTTCAGCCCCCAAGTGATAAGGGGGTTGAACAACTGGTCAGAAGGAGATTACAAGGGTCTTTTTGTTAGCACTGAGGCAGGACTCTGTTCCTTTGCCCATACTTGGATCCAGGTTGCAGTCTTAGGTGGCAGTCCCAGAACAAGGAGGATCATTAGCATAGCAGAGCTTGGGGCCACAGTGGAGGGGAACCCTCCTCACAATTCCAGGGCAGAAAAGAGTGCTTGTGGTCCCTCACAGATGAAAGCACAGGTCAAGAGAGTAGTAACTACCTCTCCTTATATCATACTGCCTTGGAAGAACTGAAAACTTATGGGCCTCTAGAAGTATCTCTGAAAACAGCTGCACAAAACCCCTGAAGCTTGGGACGGTGCATCCCCCATTCTGAAAGCAGAGCCCTACTTTAACAAAGAGTTAAAAGTCAAGTAATAGGATGAGAAAATGACCAACAGAAAAACCTCTGAGTAGAGAGAGTTACTGTGGTGACAATTTCCGATCAAAACACTCACTCAGAAGAAGAAAACAAAGTCAAAGCTCCTATATCCAAAGCCTCCAAGAAAAATATGAATTGGTCTCAGACCATAGAAAAACTCAAAAAAGGATTTTGAAAATCAAGTAAGAGAGGTAGAGGAAAGATTGGGAAGAGAATGAGGAGAGTGGTGTAAGAAAATAATGAAAAACAAGTAAACAGCCTGGTAAAGGAGACACACAAAAAAAAATACTGAAGAAAATAACACCTTAAAGAACAGACTAAAAAAAAAAAAAAAAAAAAAAAAGAACAGACTAGGCCAAATGGTAAAAGAGCTCCAAAAAGCCAATGAGGAGAAGAATGTCTTAAAAAGCAAAATTGGCCAAATGGAAAAGGAAGTCCAAAAGTTCGCTGAAGAAAATGATTCCTTAAAAATTAGAATGGAGCAAATGGAAGCTAATGACTTTATGAGAAATCAAGAAATAAAAGAAAACCAAAAGAATGAAAAAAATGGAAGATAGCGTGAAATATCTCATTGGAAAAACAACTGACCTGGAAAATAGATCCAGGAGAGATCATTTTAAAATTATTGGACTACCTGAAAGCCATGATGAAAAAAAAGAGTGTAGACATCATCTTTCAAGAAATTATCAAGGAAAACTGCCCTGATGTTCTAGAACCAGATGGTAAAATAGAAATTGAAAGAATCCACTGATCACCTCCTGAAAGAGATCCCCAAATGAAAACTGCCAGAAATATTATAGCCAAATTCCAGAGTCCCCAGATAAAGGAGAAAATATTGCAAGCAGCCAGAAAGTTCAGGTATCATGGAGCCACAGTCTCCTTGATAACACAGGATTTAGCAGCTTCTTCATTAAAGGATCAAAGGGCTTGGAATATGATATTCTGGAGGGCAAAGGAGCTTGGATTACAACCAAGAATCACCTACCCAGCAAAACTGAGTGTAATTCATGGGGGGGAAATGGGTATTCAATGAGATAGAGGACTTTCAAGTATTCTTG